CAACCACCGAAGAGATGGCGCACATACATCGAACGGTGGGAACTGACTGAATTTGAAGAGCCCATGATTGCGAAGGCTTGAAATAAACGCACCTGGCATGTGGGAGTATTAACATCACTAAAAGGGGGTGCCCACCCTGTTTGCTTGAAAGATATTGATATTCTTAGTAATTATTTGGCTGAGGCTGTAACAATCGTCGAAATTCATTACTTCAAGGTACAACTTTGCTTGGTGAGCCAGTAGAAATGGTTGACGTTTTTGTTATGCCTCTTTTAGCGAAGCTTTTGTAGTTCAGCTTTCAGATTACCATGATGCAAGCTTGCACCTATGCTGGCTTATTTTTAAGACGTGAATACATTTTCCAAAAATGACAACGATGCAAGAAAGTTTTGGCACATTGAATGACTTTCTTGATGCGCATTATAAAATTCTTCAGGCAGAGTTGTTGGCGAGTTGCCAGAATCGACGCAGGAAATGATGACGCAAGCGACACGCAGTTTCTACGATAATTTTGTGCCGGAGGGCAAAAATTCGTCAATAGTTGTATGACTGTGGATGTTGAATTTTGTCATTACGCTGTACTGGTCGAAAAGAAAGATTCGAGAATCCGTTGCATATTGGATATCTTTGTGATTTCAGTGTCGGTGATAAACAAGAGTGTTACATAGTGTAAAGTACAATTATGCTTTTCTTGCTTTGAAACCATTTTGTTAAACGTTCTTGTTTATTTATGCAAATGTAAAAACACATGTTTTGACGACCCATGGTTTGTGTGTGTGTGTATGTGTGTATGTATGTGTGCGTCTGTCCAGGTATTTCAACTCGACAGCCGGATAAGCTCTGATGCCGAAATTTTGCCATTGGATTCCCTGGCGGAGCGACATCAAAGGGAAGTGGTGCCAACTTTCACGCACATTTGAGTTTAATCCATTTATTATCGTGTATACGTGCATAAAGAGTATGAATGTAAAGCATCAATCACACAGTGCTCAGTAACAATGAACGAATCACATGAGCAGAAGCCATGATTGCACAGAGTATAATATTTAGCTGTTTTTTTTTTCTAAAGAACACAACCATCTGACTTCATTATGCTGGAGCGAAGAAGACCAGCCAGCGAATCAGATCAGTGATAATCAATCGTCCACAATTAGCATGCAGTGCTAAACAAGTGCACATAAGCATATACAGGCAGTAGTAGCCAATGGTCACTAACGCACAAAAAATTGATAACGATTGACAGTGATTTATAATGCACCAAACTAGAAAAAGCTGATTTTGAGAAGGTTTTAGTGGATGGAGTGCCGTAAGAATATCGAGCACTTTTTCTGAATTTTTATGATTTTGGCATTTCTCACCGGCTTTACTATTGTAATTGAGACGAGATCTGTGGTAACATAGCGTCCATGGAAGTACGCTATGTTAGGATTCTGGATTGGCTATTCGCTGCACCAAAAAGTCACCCTTTCGTATGTATCCGCATATTTTACATCATATGCGTGACAGGCAGTGTGTGCTCTGATCCCCAAAACGGTGTGCATCCGGGACTTTTGTTCGCTTTAAGCAATGTGGATGAAAATGCATTGCTTTTGAATTCCCTTTCTGTACACCACAATTAAGACCGGCCAGAAGAACCACACAGCTTGAGTGTAGAGAGTGTCATGATTGCAAAGACACAAATTTTAGCGATTCGCTCACACTGATCTGAAAACGCAAGAATTTTTGTTCCGAAGGCTTGAAATAATGAAAAAAAATCTAGTTGGAGATCCACAGCGAGCTCACGCGCTCCCTTTCTCATCAGAAACAGCAGAGAAGTCGCAAAATTCATCAGGTTTTGAGTGGAGGGTGGCATTCCCTAGACTTTTCTGAATTCATATGCACCACACAAGAAACATATTACAACAATATTCTAGTCGTTTCTATACCAGTGGCAGTGTCGACATCGACTTTTCGTGCGTTTCTGCATGTTTATGCAAATGCAAAAACGTTTATTGGTTAGGGATTGTCTGTGCGTGTTTGTAATTTGTCATCCACTTTCAACTCAACAATCATAGAAACTATTAAGTTGAGACTTTTGAAGTATGTGCCCAACCAAAGTAAGGCTTTCCCGTTGTAATATTATCATTCGGTACGCTTGGGTTTTACGCACGAAAGCCTAAAAAAACATGTAAATTTTTTTTCTGGGAGGAAGCGATTTCGGGCACCAGCTAAGATAGAAAGTTGAAATTTCACAGATATGTTCTATATCCCTTTGTAAATTGAAGATTTCAAATTTAGCTAACACGCTCGCCTACATCACGTGTGTGAATAGGACAAAGTTAAGAGTGCGAAAGTGATGGTAAAATGCCGACTCAGGAGCCTAGCCTCTTAGATCTCTGTAACTTTACGGCAGTATTTTCCATGCCCGGGCATGTAGGCATAAATACTCATGTGTCGCACGTCCGAAGACGTCAAAGATATTTACGGTTAAAAGCGATTTCGACAACCAGTCAAGCTAGGGAGATGAAACTTTCTGAGAACATTCTATATCAGTGTGCGATCTAAATATTTCAAATTCAGCTTTAAAGAAGGTTAGGTTTCGCAAGTGGAAGTTTAATTTGGGACACTGTTGGCACCCAATTAACTCGGTTACCAAACTGAGCAGGAAGCAGTATTTTGCTGAGCATGTTTGCTATTTATGTGCGGGTCACCAAGCACAGCATGAATTTTTGCCTAGACACAGACTTTGTGCACATGTGCGTCAAATGTACAAATTGCAATACCGCAATTACATTCAGCAGTAAATGCGGTCTCTCTACAGCATGGAATCACGCAAGAACTCATGATCACACTGACAAGCCTGTTGTCGCTACTTTTGTTAGAACCTTAAGAATCACAACATGCAATATTCGGGAATCTTCCTTTCCTCAAACACTCTATGGATGAATTTTTTTTCGCTCTTATAGTTTTTAGCATCACGTGAATATATGCATCAGTAATCAGCGTTTTTCCATTTCAACAGAAAATAAATCTTACAGAGGACGACGTGATCCACTGTTGCACTACAAAACACGGCTAGACTAAGATATTCCTTGAGGTCTAAAAGCATCATTAGTCCTGAGTATCGCTTGCATAGTAATTTGCGCCTTCCGAAAAAGCTTTGGCTGCTCATTTTGTGGATTAACAAAGTTTGGGACGTGAAGCTTTAAAGTGACCGCTGGTCACAGTTTCCTGATTGACAAGAAGCAGCGAGTTCCATAAGGCATCGTGTACGGCTTGTTGTGATGCAAGGGAAAGACAAGCAGAAGCAAAACACTGGGAGGCCATTCACAGTTTGATAAATTACACTGAATAAAGATGTACAATGAAAAGAATAAGTGGCGAAAGTGAACTGGAGGAAGGTGAAGTGAATAAGGCACATGAGAAGCTGCAACTCCCCCCGTTACTAGTGCCATAACTACGCTTTGCCCAATCGCTTTGTCCATACTCTTGCTCCTCTGATTGGTGCTCCTCCTGTTGCCACTGGTCAAGCAGTGTTTTTGGAACTAAATGACTATAAATTATGGTTGGACTAGTACCATTCAATCGCCTTATTCCAGAATAATTAGCTCTGGACGGTTGTTGCAGCTTCTCATGTCCTTCTTGAAAGGCAGCTTCAGGAAATGGCTTTGTCGGATTTTCAGCGATGATTCTTCTGGTGTTGCTGCTGGTGCTAATGCTAGTGCTGGAGCTGGTGCTGCTGCTGCTTTGTTCGGTAGTGCTGCTGGAAGGCAGGAATGTCGTCGTGGCAGTGGCAGAAGACGTGTTTGGCCTCAACGATTCGTTATTTATCAGACCGAGCGGGAAATCCCACTGTACTTGCTCATGGTGCAAGTCACTATCTGTGGGACCTGGTGAAGATGTCTCAATCACAGCTGAGAGAGAAGAAACGGGCTGCAAACTGGAAATGGCAGTGGTTGCACTGGCAGTACTTGCAGCATTTGGGCGAATCACCGTGCTGGTTGTAGGATGCGATCTGGATGCTTGTGATGTCGGCGACAAACTGGTAATGAACACTTCCACAGTCCGCGATCTACCATTCTCTGCTTTTTGAGAATTTGTGGATTCCGGTGTTTTATTGCTCAGTTGCTTATCGGTCGTTGACAATTTTCTGGAAACGGTTGAATTGCTTGGGAGCATGTGTTGGTCATTCAAAACCTTTTTACGCATTCCTCATAAAAATTTATGCACCAAGATAAGCATAAAAGAATATAATCGTACGTTTGTGCTTAAGACGTGTTTCGAGACAAATGGTGTGAGAAACCAATGTTACTAAAACTGCTGTGATTTCCCAACACGTTGGAAGCAGTAATGCCAGGCCCCTCGATCCTAAACTGCATACTGCCAGTTGGTACCCGCCGCCTGTTCGGTTTCTTGATACCGCTCATCGGAGATCGCCCCAAAAGTTTTTAGTTTCTCTCTCGCATCACTCACTAACACGAGGTGTCTACCAGTCGAGTACACCCTGCCCATTGATTTCTTTTCTCGGGTAATCAATGACATTCTACAAATCGGCCATCTGAAAGTGAATCTGACTATACGGTGACGAAAGGACATGCCAAAGCAATGCCCAAGCAACGTGGGTATTCTCTCTTAGTGGTATTACTGGGATGTTCCCACACATCGGGCTGAATTGTACTCAACCCCACACAAGAAGGAAATGATTCTGAAAATCAACCGTGTCCACTTGTTCAATACCGCTGTGTTGGAGACAGTGCAAAACGTGGTCACTAACAAAAGTAGAAAGTATGAGTTTTTGTGATGATGAAGGTAATGAAGCAAAGAGTGAGATGCTTTGGAAATATGGGTAATAAATTCAACTAGTGCTTCGCAACAAAAAATTAAAAAACAATTGTCAAGTCTTTCTTTACTTTATCCTATGATTCTCAGTCCAAATCCTTTTGAACCGAAGATGGACGAAGCTCGGAGCTTTTAATGCACTTTTCTCGTTGAAAAAACGATAACGAGTTACTGCACGCACCAGTATCTTTGTCACTGCATGCCCGCAAAAGTTCAAATTAAAAATGCATAAGTACGTCGATCAATTTATTAACCCCGTTTTCTCAAGTATGAATTGTAATTTGTCAATAAGAACTCTAAATTTGTCAAGCTGTTCCCCAAAAAAAGAATTTTTCTGGCTGTTCTGGCATCTTTTACTGCATCACGCAACGACAAATTCTCCGCAGGTTTTCCTAATTGTTGCTTTCGAAACAACATTTGTTAAAAAAAAATGGAGCAGCTAATTTACACTCACATTTTTACAAATGGTTTGTTTGAGGGCGATAAAGAAGGAAACTAACGTTGTTGAGGTGGCGCTGAATGGGATCGCAATTGCTTGCCACTGGAAACCATAGTCACTGAAATGAAGTAAAGAGAATCTTTTGGGAAGAATGATTTTCCTGGGATTGATTATCAAAAGCAACCAACATAAGGAAAAGGATAGGCACGCTCATGGGATAAGCTCTGCGCCAACTGTATCAACGGCTAGTAAGGAAGTAGCAGTGAAACAGGGCTGCACAAAAAATCTGGATTAATCTGACTGAAGAAAATCTCCGCTCTAAATTTTCTATTTCCTTTCCCTTCCCCGCACTTCAGCTCTTCCACTCAGACTGATCACATTCGAGCTGCGTTAATTGCGATCTTTAATTGCAAATGAGATGTCATAACGGATTTCGCCTATTGTTCAGTAAATTTTCTATCCGCGTGGCGCAGTAGGATGGCACTGCTGTTTGCGGCAGGTGAGAGTAGAATGTAGAGGAAATTTTAATTTTTTTCTACTGTTTTGACATCATATTTCCGCAAGCCACTCCTCAAGAATTTCCCCTTTTTGTCGCAATTAAGGTAGTGACGTTACTTTGTTTGTTATGCACTCTGTGACCCATACTCATGTTTATTTTTTTCAACATTTTAGTGCACTTATTCAGTTGCTGCATCCGCGTGTATGGATGGCTGTCAAATTCTACCAAATCGCTAGACCCAAATTGTTCAAGCAACACTAACCTATTTCAACAGCAGTGACTTCAAACAGGGATATTACTGAAGTGCTTCCCCGGTTACGCCGTTTCCTTCCGTATGTATCTCTATCATGACAGTGAGCAGCTGCAGTATCAGTGTGTGGGATATATCCACACAAGCATCAGGTTACTAAGCAAACACCAAGCAGCACCAGTCATGGATAACCCCTGCTGTATTGGTTTGTGAGAAGCATCCAGCCTTCCTAGTATAAGTGTCACCCTCCAGGGCGGAATATTTTGTTGAAATTATGATCGGGAAATTAAACTTATGTAAGACACTTTGGCGATAACCAAGTCTTTCGAATAAAATTTACAAAAAAAGCTTCAAAAAAGAAAGCCGCCCGGCAAAAGCATCGAATCAGTGATGCCAGCAAAAGATATCTTTTGAATTACATTTGCATGCATTCGAAATTATAAAGAATCCAAAGGACGTAGAAAATAGTCTCATCTTATTTTCGTCTTTCGGCTCATGTCATTTGAATAAGGAATTGTGTTTAGGAATAATTAAGAGAGGTGCGAGTAGCAAATGATTAAAGAAGATGAAGATTAAACAAATGCTAATAGTGTTGAATGACAAGCACTAAGCAAGTAAAGTGATAATTTTCAAGAAAATTATTGTGAGGCAGAAAATACAGCAGCCCAAAATAGCATAGCGCAGAAATATTGCACAACCGTGTCGGGCCCCGCTGCCCCTTAAAAATTTTTATTACAAATCCAGCACTCACTTCATGATGACTACGGAAAAAGGATGTATAGTGGCAGAAAACGAAGATGCTGGTCAGCACATGGAAGTCATTAGACATTGAAAAAAACATGAATAGAAAAGCATCAATTGTTTTCGGGGAAGAATGTCAGCTCAAAGAAAAATTATGAGGAAACTGATGTTCCGAGTAATTTTCATTCTTCGCCCTCTTTTTCTCCTCTTCTAAAGCCTAATTTAAGTGGTAAAGCAGCCGCAAAGCCAAAATAACCGACACAGCGATCCTAAGGTGGCTTGGCACTATAGACACATAGTGGATTTAGGTACTGCAAGTGATACTACTCGGCCATCACTAAACCGCTATTGCTTTCGGAAAGAATCCTGGTGAATAGCGAAAATAATAACAGTCGTAACAATAATAGCAGTAATATTAGTAATAGTATTGGTAATAGTAAAAGTAATAATATCAATTGTTTAAGTAATGGCAACAGTGATAATATTATAATTGTTATTATACTACAGAATAAGCAACAACAATAATGAGAAATAAAACTGATAATTTAAATTGTTATTTAAACTGTAATGTCCAAAATTAAAAAATAAATAAATGTAAAATTTAACTGAAACTGAATCAAGTTAGTGTAAAATTTAACTGAAACTGAATCAAGTTAAAAAGTAAGTTGTGTCAATCCTTCTGAAAAAACTTTCCTGCCGTAAAAGAGAAAGGGAAGACAGGGCATGAACTGTTTGAATCTTCCTGTCCGCCTAAAATTGTTCGTCCCTCAAATTAGTCTAGCGTGGCAGTCGTACGCACTGACGCAACTTGGATAGTTTCTACGTGCAGTATCTTCAACCGCCATTTTTCATTTCCTCGATCTTTTTTTTTGATGGCGTCCGACTGGCGTTTGTAGTTGTCCGCATCTGCTACTTGTCAGAGTAGTGGTGCATAATTCTTCTCGTTATCAACTTCGTATCCTACAAATTTGGCGGAGCGCTTCGTCATGACCACGACGCTTGACAAAAGAGAAATCTTTATTTTGCCATCCCGTCAGACGAAAAAATCTCATGACGTTACTATTGATGAAAGTCCTGAGATTTCTCAGACAGATATGGTCGCATCTGATTGCATCCTGACATCTCTCGTCTTCAGTGATACAGTTTTTCTAACCCACACAAATAAAGGAGCGAAAGTGTCGGGGAGCGATGGAAGAAATGATAACATACGGTATGCGCCTAGCAAAATTTATTCATCCCAAAAGCGAATATTGCTGGAGGAAGAATTCCGGAAGACCTTCCGTTATTTTTAATCACAAGTTTGCATGTTAGAAGTTAATTCTATAGGACATAAGAACATCATCCAGCTAAATGCATAAGATAAAAATCAAAGGGACCATTTTGTATTTACTTATACCAACTCTTTCTAGCCTAAATGCTGAATTTTAAAGGCAGCTTCATTGATACTTGGACCTGTGATCTGATTTTTGATATAACTACAAAAAAAAGATTTTTTTTATATAAGGTTTTTCTGATATAAGTTTTCAGTCAACTAAGACAACAAATTTCCATTATTACAAAAAACGATGGAGTTAATAAGTTCTATAAGTTGTTCCATAAGTCCTCCTTAATAAGTCCTATGCTAAGTTCAAATTTACAAGCCTACATAAGCAATCAGTTATAGAATGTTTTAGTACAAAATTTGGCCAAAAAGAGGATGAAGAGAGATGAAGAATGAAGGAAGGAGAAGGATGAAGAATCGGCCTACTGATAATATCTGGCTCCAAAAACTGGAGGACTTGGATGAACATAGCTTACGCCAGACGCGGATAGGCGAACGAAGTCAATTACATTTTGATCAACACTTAGCGCATTCTCAGAGATATCTACACCGTGCTCTGTTTTTCGCCTGTTTTTTTTTTAACTTTTAGGTAAAAACGCAACATATGTGTGTTTATGAAAAGTAAATATGTTGGCAGAATGGTAAACTTATATTGGGATAGTTAACTCATTCTTTTTCGTTCTCCCACATTACCATCCGAATGCGTTCTCGTCGCCGCTCTTTTTGAAAAACAAAATTGGTTTCACGCATCGCTAACAACAAAGGACATATTACATGGATCAATTAGCAGCGGGAGCCACTGACGCATAGATACGCATGTATGTAAATATAGCAGAGGAAATCACTGGTGAGAGCGAAAAAATTCAACAACTTTTTTGTCAGAATGAAATTGATTTAAGTTTTAGGTGCCAGTAGATTCAAATGCCTCTATTTGGTGCGAGCCAAAAAAGTAGTTTAATCTCAGTTTGACAAGAAAGTTGATGAATTTCGCCACTTCTTGCCGA